GCTGCTGGGAGCAGGGACTGGGCCTGGCTGGGCGCGGTCGCGGGCGGTTGCTCGCGGTAGCGATCGGCTGGGCCTGGCTAACTTCCGACGGCGGCGGCGATTTTCGGCGGCGGTGGACGGCGGTGGACGGCAGCGGTCGGCTGGGGAAAGTGACCGGAAATATATATGTATAAAGGCTCGAATAAATTGTACCCAAAAGCCTTCTAACGGATTACCTAAACACCTACTTCGATTAAACTTGGTGGAGCATTTAATGGAATCTCCCTAACTCTCGAACGATGTTATTCTCTCGTGTATGTAGAAGAGAAAAATCGGCCAATACAACATGTAGGAGAGGTTGGGACATGGTGTATTTATGGGCTCCATTAGGGACCTTAAGGACATGGCTGACTTTCGATGGCGGCGGCGATTTTCGGCGGCGGTGGACGGCGGTGGACGGCGGCGGTCGGCTGGGGAAAGTGACCGGAATTATATATGTATAAAGGCTCGAATAAATTGTACCCAAAAGCCTTCTAACGGATTACCTAAACACCTACTTCGATTAAACTTGGTGGAGCATTTACTGGAATCTCCCTAACTCTCGAACGATGTTATTCTCTCGTGTATGTAGAAGAGAAAAATCGGCCAATACAACATGTAGGAGAGGTTGGGACATGGTGTATTTATAGGCTCCATTAGGGACCTTAAGGAGGTGCTAAATATGGGCTTATTCCATTAGGCCTAGTGTAACATCCCGCTATTTTAATAATATCAGAGTACGCATTTTTCGCAATTTTTCTGAATAATTTAATAAAATATTTATTTTTGCGAAAACTGATTCGGGGTGCTACCGTGAAAATCTGACTGAAAAACTGTTAATTTTAAACTTATAATAAAAATGGTTATTTAATATTTTAACCGACTAGTGTCGGACCAAAACTGAGTTTAAGTACTGAAAAGATAGCGGAAAAGTAGCGTGGCCAAAAACATCGATTATACAATAACAAAACAAATGTCCTGAACAGCACGTCAGCTCACTCCTCGTCCCCGACCCTGTGACCTGAAAAACATGAAATAAGTGGGAAGTGAGCACTAAAACACTGTGCTCCGTGGAAACTCATACTAAAGTAAAAAAGTGAAAATAATAACAATATCATGATCCTGGCATATATAACTGAACTGAACTGATAACTGATATCTGATACCGGTCTGAATAATCTGATACTGATCTCGTGACATAAGTCACGTGTCTGAAACTGAACATCTGCCGGCAAGCCTGACACCATGTGCACACTCTAGTGGGCAGATTAAGGCCACTAGAACCCAGAATGGACCGGCAACCATTCCGAGCGGATCCTGAATATACATACCTCAAACATGGTAGCGATATTATAATCAATGTAGTACTTAGTCTGAGTCCCCACCTGAATGGCTGAAAATGCAGGTAGTGCTGATGCCTGATCAAACTGAAATAATATAAACAATTACTAAGGACTATGCTCAGACTGATAAATTAACTGATTAATTATGTTAAGATGCTCTTACTCGACTTAACATGATATCTAGACTTAATCGGTATAACTGGAACCGGTTAAGTACAAAACTAAACTGATATTAATTAACTGAACTGAACTGGACCCAGAATTTTAACTGAAAATGATACTGAAATCAATAACCGGGACTGAAACAATGAAATACGGGCGGAACCGGTCCAGCCGGTCTGAACCGGTCTGGACCAGACTGCCGGTCGGCTGAACCGAGCAGCCGGGTGCT